AGACCTTGGGAATGGAACTCGTTCTTAAACTGGGGACTACCTGTACTTTGTGTGCCCAGTTTGTTTTCCTAAAATGCATATGAAATTTCATTAAATGATTTAAAGCACTCTGTGATCCTCAAAGGGCAGGTGACTCAGAAATACTATTAGGAAATGGATCTACTAAATGGGATTACAAAACTCTGATAATGTAATAATCACAACTCAGCCAATGCTGTGGGCAGAAGGTGACTATACTCTCATTCCCCTCTAACAGTAATCTGAATTAGAGCACCATGGGAAAGTGAAACACCTAAATCCAAATCAGACCAAATTATATTCTGTTGAGTAGGGATTATAGGAATTGAACCCCAACACATCTGCAGGTATCAAGTTTGGGAAAGCAAATTAAAGGTTAAATTATCCTATGAATTCTGTCTTATTCTCCTTTTACACTAGAGTGAATCTTTTGTAATTTTTGATAGCATGTGTTTTACTCTTCATATTCTGTGGTGCCATTTCACTTAAGAGTTTCTGAAGGACAACTTTGTATGTTCATTTCCTACAGTGACTGAAAATTATCATCTTGTTTCATGATTTTAAAGTGGCTTTTTGGTCATAGATATACTGTGAAGCACTAGAACATATTTTCTGTAAAGTTAATAAGCTACTTCTGTTCATTATTTTGAAAGGTAAATCACAGAACACCCAGTTTGCAACTAATTCTAAAGAAGTGAAAATTGTAACCACACTAGGTTATATTCAGTATATTGGGTTGCTTTGCACTGTTGTTTTAAAATCTGGCTATGGGAGTGTGAAATATCCTTCAGGAAACTCACCATCTTTTTCTACTGGAACGTGGCATTTAGGGCATGGTTTAGTTGTTCTTTTTATTGTTTCTTTGGAGGCATCTTCCCATCGAGCTTGCATGGCTGCATGTTCATCAATTTCAAATCCCTGCAGAGAGAGAAGAAACCATGAACTATGGACTACGTACATACAACATGGCACATGTGACCACTTCCTCCAGACTGTATATTTTTTGCATAGGCTCATTGGAAGAATTGTTATCCCACCTTACCAGATGTATCCATGAAAGTATTTTGCATTCCTGCCTAAGAAATATATTCCAAACACTATGAATATCATCTGGAGGCCAATCACTTTGAGTTAATGTGTATCAACAAAACTCTCAGGGTGGTGGTAAAAAAAATTTGATTGCTTGATAGGCTACCCACCTTATTTTGACTTTTAAATGCTTAAAACGCAGGATAATCTACTCTTCCCTTTCTTTTTTCCATCCCTCAATGTGCCATTTTACTTCATTTCTCCTTCTAGAACAAGGTTGAACGATATAGTCCATTCGGATGTTGTTGAACTTCTGCTTTCAGCAGGTCCAATCAGGATGAGGAGTAGCGGTGGATGCTAGATGAGCCTCTTCAATATCTAAAAAGCCACCTCTTGGGCTCCTGTGTTCTAGACAGTCTGAGGTTCTCCCAGTGCTGTTTTACATTTTACACTATGAAGCAGCCAGCCTTTGTTACTCTTTCCTACTTCTGACCTTTGGAAATAAATATGCAGTACCCAGAGGATTCTCGTTATTCGTGGTAGTTACGTTCTATGAAGTCATTGTGAACACTGACTTAGCAAGTACGGAAACCTCAGCTGGGAACTTGTGCATTGGGCGACTCAATTTTTTTGCCACTCTGCATGTCCGTGAAAGTGCCATGAGTATTGATTTTGCAGTTACAGATAAATTTAGCAAGTAGGCAAATTCGCAAATACAGAATCTGCAAACAAGAATCAACTGTTTGCACACATATGTCCACACATACATGAGGGGAATAAAATTTCTATTTTGGTTGCATATCAATGGATGAAAATTCATGATCAATAGATGAAATAGATGAAATTAAAATATAGACCAATGTCCAGAGATTATATTAACTTCTATAAATACCTAGGTGACTCAGCCTCTTTTTCTTGGAGTGTGTATTTTGCTGCATGTAACTCTGTAGTTCTATTTGAATGAAGTGTTTCTAAAGCACAATTTTATAAATTGATAATTATAAATTAATTGCTTGCAGTCATTGAAAATCTCATTATTTCTTGATTATAAAAGGATATTACACAAAAATATCAAGGCTATCATAACTTCAGGCTAATTTCTTTCTTCTTTATTGCAGCAATTAGATACTTCATTCTGTTTTGTCCAGGGAACCAATTCATTTTATTATATCCTCCACAACAAGAGCAAGCAAGCCTTTAGTATCATTTCTGCACACTGAACGCTCTTTATATTTTTGAATTTGTAGCTAAAGTCTTGTGGTTGTGCAATATTTTTTTATCAAAGCAGACTGAGTCAATGTTTTTCATGAATAGGTAAACTCATTATGTTCCTAGTATCTCTGTTAGCATGTTTGGGGAAAGCTTATCACAAAATCCCATGCTAAAACCAAACTCTGACATTTTTGCTACCAGCTACACAAAGCCATATAATTACAGAAAATCACTACCTAGGCAAAAGGAATCAGATTTCACAACTAGATATAACCAGCTCTTTTCAACATTCATGAAGCTAAGATTCAACAGAACAATAATGACTATTCATAATTTTCTCACCATCTTCTGGGGAAAACAAGTATTGCAGGCATAAAACTAGGGATCTGCAAAGTGTTTTGTGCACACACTGTTCCATACATGAAAAGCAGTCTTTGGGAAGTCTGTGCCCAAAGTGAAACATGATGCATGCCTCAAGATATGTTGGCCCCTATGCAGAATGGAAGAGGGCTATTTTGTCCCAGATCTGAACCCAAGTGCAATTATTGTGGGCAGACGTAGTGTGAGGGTGGGGGTAAAAGAGGAGCAAGCCAAAGGTGTGGGGTTTCCTTGATGATGTTGTGCAGAATCCTTGATGGCAGCCGCATTAATGGAGGAGAAGCAGAGCAGGAAGAGAAGGGAAACAGATGCTTGGATGATCAGGGAGGGGACGAGTTGCACTGGGATCCTGCTTCTTACTGCTGGCAATAAGGAACAGGCCCACAGGCCAGGATTATAGGAAGCAGCTGCACAGCCGAGGGGTGAGAAGGCAGGTGAGGGGACAAGTCATGTGGAGGAAGATGGAAGAGGGACAGCATAGACCACCTCGTCCTACTTGCCCTGTCAAATCACACTAGGAGTCTTTGAGCTTTGATTTTGGATGAAACCCAAACCAAAACATTCCGGTTTTGTTTCTGGTGAACTGCAGCTGATCTGAAACGGTGTGGCAAAAAATCCAGAACATGATAATTTGCTTTGTGTTGGAAACAAAATGTGTTTCCTATTTCCTGCAGATCCCTACATAAACCACTTCAAGCTGTATTTCCAGTCTGTTCTCCAAACCTCCAGTTTTGCTGTCAGTATTTTAGGCAATAATTTAGGTGATAGTATCCTACTACAGTAAAATAAATAGAGACTTATCAAGGAAACATTATTGTCTGTTTCAACAAGTCTGGTTCTCTCATATAGCTGACCTATCACAATCCTAAATAAATTATTAACAATTATTTTAATTACGATTAGAAAATGTAAGCCCTTTCCTGCTCTCTAAATAATTGTGCTTGACATATTTAAAAGGTGGGTGGTTTAAACTACAGTTCATAATCATATTGAAGTGATGGTGCTAACACAGAATATTGTCACCAGGATAACAACCCATTCATTTTGATTGTATATATTTTCCATATTAATGCAAACTAGAACTCAGTCTTTTCCTATCTCTATTTAAAGCCAAGAAATATAACCTTGTCCCATCTTCTTTTTAGTCATTCTGACAGCTCAACTAAAAACAGCTTCCTCTAATGGCAACTTCTTTTCAGGTTAGTAGATTGCAGCCTGGAGTAAGTTACCTAAGGAATTTCACAGAAAGAGAGAAGGTATCTGACTCCTCTGAAAAATCTCTTCAGAACCTCCTCCAGAACATTATAGAATTGGGTAGGGATGGCAGTTGGGGGAGTTTTCCAAAATCACACAGTCCTCCTCTGGATTTGAAACAGAGCAGCCCCTGTCCCATGCAATATTGTGCTGGAGGGCTTATTAATTTCAGGAGAAATTTTTCAGAGGGTACTGATGGCTGCATGGGGAAGGAGAAAAGATTGCTACCCTATGTGCATTTACCTACAAACACAATTCACAGAATGGAATGGGACTTATTTCTGCATAATTGCACTGTAGTTTGATAACTTGCTTTAGGAGTTTAACCAACTCAAGTTCATTTCTGGATTTTCAGTTTGTTCTATTCATCTGTTAAGAAAGTGTACTTAGAATAACTTCAGTAGTGTTCATCAACTATTCTTAAATGGAAGTTTATTATAAGGGCACATTATGAATTCTCTCAGGAATATCCAAGAATGAGAAGAAACTCTATAAATTGCACGAGCTGGTTATTGCTACTTCATGAAGTTGCACCTGCAGCAAAGTTTGATTCACCATAAAGGAGTCTTCCCCAGCTTGATGCTATCCAGTAGTAGAGAATGTATGTAGGTCAGGGTTGAACTTTTAGGTTCTTGAGATTCTTCAGATGTTTGCCTGCAGACACTTCATTACCAGACTAGGTAACATCATCAGTGTGATGAGAGTGGGGCTGTTTATAGACAGTACTTTGTCCTGCCAGTCTGGGTTGGGATGTGCTTTCTTTCCTGAGAGTTTATCTTTTTTCCCCTTGATTATCTGGTTTCTTGCTTATCTGAGTGTTGGTTGCTAGGGAGGATGTCCTCTGGGCTGTTTGCTTTCTTCCTGGACTTTGGGTTATGCCTTTTGACTGGTAGGTAGATGGAGGTTATCTCTATGTGTCTGTTGATGGCTGAGTTGTCAGAACATCAAAAAGCTTTTAGCATAACATTTGAAGTGGCAAATTTTATACATTAATTAATTAATTAATTATGTCGATTGTTTAGTTTGTGTTTTAACTGTGTATGCTGCTCAGAGTCACATGCAGGTGTGACGGATGGCTATATAAACTCAATAAATAAATAAATACCCTGAAAACAATATGGCAATATGTCCTTGAAAAAGGATTTTGCAATGTTTCTGTGATTACCTTTTCAAAGAAATCTCTGGGCTTGTGTAATGCAGAAAATGAACTATTTCTTAAAAATCCTATTGATAGATAGGACGCTCTCCTTCATAGCCCCCCCCCCAAATCATTCAGATGATTAACATGTAATTTTGTACTTTTTAAAATACTCAGGATTGATTCACAGATTACAAGAAGAGGCTTGTTGAAATGCTGCTGGCTAACTTCTAAAAGGGTTCCCAGATCATTTTTCTTCAGTAACACAGTGCCACCATGTGGCAACACATGAAGACTGCATGATGTCAGAGAAGGTGCATAATAAAATAACTCTGCAGATTGGGGGAGGACAGAGAAGGTCACTAAATGGCTAAATTCTTACGTTCCTGTAATTGGTCATGGGCATAATTGTCATGCAGTTATATATACCCAGGCCAACTATGGGATAAGCAAATAGCATTTTTTTCTCCACCCCAAAGAGTTCAATTTGGATCTTATACTACCTATTGCTAGAAAACCTGGTTCCTTTTATGACCATCAGGTGACTGTTCTCCTTCTTTGTGACCAATTTGCAGAGTTGCAAAATTTGTATCAATAGCTGTGGCTTATAGAAGCTGTCCGATGCCCTCTTGGTATTAATATATATGCAAGTGTTTTACCTGCTGCGTTTGATGTATTTTTAATTATTGGTCTTGGACCATATATAAACTTGAACTCAAACGTGATTTGAATCAAAGTACCTGGTCAGCCATTGTGGCAGCAGCTAGCATGGAAGTGAAGGATGGGTGACATCATTAAGCTTTCCTAGTACTTGCCACATGCAAAGGCTCATAGGATACCAGCCAGGGGGTGGGCAAGGAGATTCTGTATTCCCAAACTGCTGACTTTTTTTTTTAATAGTAATGTT